TACCGATAGGTGGGTGGAGCTAATCATGGATTGTATATCCACTGTTACATACTCTGTTCAAGTTCGGGGGGTGGCGTCGGGACTGATTGTGCCATCAAGGGGGCTGCGTCAGGGAGATCCTCTCTCTCCTTATCTGTTTTTAATTTGTGCGGAGGGACTGTCTGCTTTGCTTTCTAACGCACTCAGAATCAAGCGTATTAGCGGCATTTCCGTGGCTCAGGGAGCACCTACTATTTCTCATTTATTTTTTTGCAGATGATAGCCTATTTTTTTGTAATGCCCATCTTGCTGATTGTGCTTATTTGCTTCAGATTCTCAGCATGTATGAGAGAGCATCTGGTCAGAAAATTAATTTTGATAAGTCTGCAGTTTGTTTTAGCCCTAACATTGATCCGGTGATGAAGCAACTGATTGCTGAAATGCTTGGAGTGCCGATTGTTACATGTCATGAACGCTACCTTGGGCTGCCCACCTTAGCTCAACGCAGCAAATCCCGGATGTTTAATCATGTGCGAGAACAAGTGTGGCGCAAGCTTAATACTTGGGATACGAAGTTGCTGTCAGCGGCGGGCAAGGAGGTCTTAATTAAGGCGGTTGGTCAGGCACTACCTACTTATACAATGGGAGTATTTCAGCTGCCAAAATCTTTGTGTCAGGAATTATCTGCTATGATTGCAAGGTACTGGTGGGGGAAGAGTGGTAGGAAAGGAATTCATTGGTTGGGTTGGAGAAAATTGTGTAAACCAAAATGGCTGGGAGGCCTTGGTTTCAGACACTTTGAAGCTTTTAATAAAGCCATGGTCGCAAAACAGGCTTGGCGAATTTTAGAGAACCCCACCTCTCTGGTGGCTAAGATGCTTAAAGCCCGATATTTTCCAGAGGATGATTTTATGCAGGCTAGTTTGGGGAGTTCGCCGTCACTGATATGGAGATCTATTCTGTGGGGACGTGAGGTTATTGAGGATGGCTTGCTTTGGAGGGTGGGCAATGGAGCTTCTATCCGTGTTCTCCAAGATAAGTGGATTCCAAAACCTTTTACGTTTAAACCATTGATGACTAGAGGGCTGGAGCAGACGTCTATGGTCTCTGACCTTCTAACGGCTTCTGGCTCTTGGAATTTGCCACTGTTAGAGCAACATTTTAGCTTGGAAGATCGGGATATCATTTCTGGCATCGCTTTGGGATCAGTTTCACAGATGGGTGACAGCAAATATTGGTTTTTCTCAAAGAACGGGAAATATTCCGTTAAAACTGGGTATCGTGTGGCAGTAAGGCAGTGCGATGATGATTTTGGAGTGGGAGGATCGGATCAGAGTGCTCAAGAAGGCTTCTGGAAGCGAATTTGGAAGCTAGCTGTCCCCAACAAAATTAAGATGCTGCTGTGGCGGGCATGTACTGAAATTCTGCCAACTGCAGTCAATTTATTTAAGAAAAGGGTGCTTCCGTCTCATGTGTGCTCAAGGTGTGGGAACTATCCTGAAGATGCTTTCCACGCTTTGTGGTCGTGTAAAATGAGTCAAAAGCTATGGAAGTGTACCCATTTCATCCGGCGAATTAATATGGCGGGGGGCACCTTCGCTGATGCTTTTGAGGCTGTGGCTTCAATGCTGTCGAAAGCTGACTTAGAGCGCTTTGCTTGTTGTGCGTGGAGTGCGTGGAAACTACGTAATGATTCTTTGCATGGGAAACAGATTACACGGGTGGATAATATGGTGGAAAACACGATGGAAATGCTGGAAGTGTTTAAATCTTGTGAGGAGCGGTCCAAGCTCCCCCTCGTCTCTCCGCAGGCCCATTGGTTGAAACCACGGGTCAATACTCTTCTCCTTAACTGTGATGGGGCTGTGGGACGTGAGCAAGGTGATCGGGGTCTGGGGGGAGTTTGTCGTGACCACGCCGGAAACTTTATCTGTGGTTTCGCATCGTTTGGTCCACCTGGTTTGGATGTTTTGGGCACGGAGTTGGTGGCTGTCCGGGAAGGGTTATTGATGATGGGATACATGGGTTTTACTCGGTTTACCATTGGTCTTGATTCTCAAGAAGCTGTTTCTATGCTTAAAGATGGTTTGGATTGGTGGAGTAATATTGGTAATGTGGTGGAGGATGTTCGTCGGTTAATGGTTGATCGAGAGGTGGCTGGAGTGTTCTACCAACACCGGCAGGGTAATGGGGTGGCACATAGTCTAGCTCAGCATGGGTTGAGAGTGAGATCTCGCCTTTTTTGGAAAGACCGTGCTCCTCCATGGTTAAGCATTCTTTTAGATAAGGATATAGCTATGGTGTAATTCATTGTTTGTTTTTGAGATGCGGTGGTACTCTTTTTCCTTGACCGGATTTTCCCCCATTGGGGGTTTTGGATGGCAAGGTTTTAATGAGGCCACACTAACGCTCTCCGTTCATTTGTAAACGTTATCATTGGTTGGTGCTACGGTTGAATGAATCTTTCTATTTGATCAAAAAAAAAAAAAAAAAAATTAATCAACTTACTCAAAACATACATGTGTAATGTGGATTATGCAAATTTTTCAAAAACAAAAAAAATTCATCAGTGAATCCTTAGAATTTGTACGAGTATTTCGTGTCTAAAATTTTTGAGAACTTTTAGATGTTGACTTCCCAACGGAATTTTTTTGGATCCACTACTGGTTCTAAGGTTATTTGATTGTCTAAATTTTTTCAGGGAGCTTTTAACCTTATAAATATTGCCCCTCCCTTGAAAAATTCGTGGATCCATCACTGAATACATTTACACAAAATCAACTAATGTTTTTATTTCATACTACTTTATCTATGAAAGAAAACCATACATTACATTATTTTTTTTTAATGGAGGGGCCGAGCTATCGTTTGGCTTGAGTGGGTAGGTAGGTGGTGAGGAGGGCAGTTGTCTGCGGCCTCGGTGGGTTCCAAGTTTTTTGTCTTTCTGGACAAGGAAATTGCCGCTAGTGGGTTTACTAAGAACCAAGATGTCTGCATAATTCAAGTGCCAAATCAATTGGAGTTCTATACCAAAGAGAGGCTGGCAGGACCACATGAAATTTTGTTCTCCTAGTTACAATGGGCCCCAAGGTCCAAAATAATAACATTTCATGGCTATGGCAGGTGTCTATTCATGTAAAGTACAAGTATGAAATCTTTCTCAATTAAAGTGACATCTAATTATAAAATTTTGTCCCCTATTATGTGACAGTTTTATTTAGGGGTGGGCATCAATCCGGCCGATCCGGCCAAACCGGCCGAACCAATCCGTATTTGCCGGTTTGGTTTGGTTTTGACTAAAAAAAAGTCAACAGTTTTAAAATCCGAACCGAACCGGAGTGGTTTGGTTCAGCTGCAGTTTTAAGCTTTGAAAAACTGTGCTAATCCGAACCGAACCGTTCAAATATTAATTAATTATATATATATTAATTTACATGTGTCAATAGTTGAGTGGCTAATTAGAAGTGGTAGTATGTACACTGAGCTACACTGAATTGGACTCCAAACCAATTATTTTTGCTACTCTTCGGACTCCAAACTCATCACATCTCACAGACCTTCCTTTTCCTTGAATGCGCAGCCACACAACACAACCCACATCTCAGACTCTCATTTTCCTTTGAACAACTACAACCTCCACTGCTTCAATCAAACACATTTTGCACATCTGAGAAACATGTTCATCCATCGTCGGCGTCGCACATCTCAGAAAACTGGTATGTTGTTTTTAATTGTATAGGCTATAGCTCCAATTTCATTTGGATCCAACAACTACAATCTTACGTATAGGTATAGCTCCAATTTCATTTAATTAAGCTCAACTAGGAATATCCCATAATTATTATGATTATCTTATACTGGAACTGAAACCCCACCCACTGCTCCAATTTCTTTTTGATTATTTAATTATTATGATATAGGTCTTGTTATTCTTATTAAGTATTTTCACATTCTAGATTTACTATAACGACTTCAGTCATGTGCCACAAAATCTGTTTTAATATGTTTCTTGCTTTTAATTTGTTTTGATGGAAATTAGGACCTTTAGAATGGGGACATACCACTTTAGAATGTTTGTTTTGATGGAAATTATGAATTATTTAATTTCTTTTTTATTATTTAATTATTATGATTTTGATTGCTGAACTATTAAATTTGTGATGATCTAATTGATGAAATTAACTCTAGATGCCTGGATTAATGATACTTGGATATAAGTGTGGTGTGGTTGCAATTTGTTGGTGATTATGGATGAAGCTAACTCAGTGCCAACGATGGTGAGTTCTTCTAATTTATTTAATGTTCATGATGAGGTTCTGCAATTTGTCTGTGATTTATTAGATATCCATGACATATTGGTTCTCCAATTTTTTGTGATTGTAATTTTTGAGATCAAATGCAGACAGTTCTTCTAATTTATCCATTTTTTATATATAGAAATGCAGAGATCAAATGCTATTGCACCTGTGCACATTTTCACTGATTGATTCTCTATTGATGCACAACCTTGCAGTTATGGTTATTTTCTTATTCTGGCATATTTTGATAATCTTGTATCCTAAAATTTGTGTTGATTGAAACTGCTTTTATGTGCAGTATCGGACAGACCAGCATACTACATCAGAAAAAGACTTCAGTCATGTGCCACAAAATCTGTTTTAATATGTTTCTTGCTTTTAATTTGTTTTGATGGAAATTAGGACCTTTAGAATGGGGACATACCACTTTAGAATGTTTGTTTTGATGGAAATTATGAATTATTTAATTTCTTTTTTATTATTTAATTATTATGATTTTGATTGCTGAACTATTAAATTTGTGATGATCTAATTGATGAAATTAACTCTAGATGCCTGGATTAATGATACTTGGATATAAGTGTGGTGTGGTTGCAATTTGTTGGTGATTATGGATGAAGCTAACTCAGTGCCAACGATGGTGAGTTCTTCTAATTTATTTAATGTTCATGATGAGGTTCTGCAATTTGTCTGTGATTTATTAGATATCCATGACATATTGGTTCTCCAATTTTTTGTGATTGTAATTTTTGAGATCAAATGCAGACAGTTCTTCTAATTTATCCATTTTTTATATATAGAAATGCAGAGATCAAATGCTATTGCACCTGTGCACATTTTCACTGATTGATTCTCTATTGATGCACAACCTTGCAGTTATGGTTATTTTCTTATTCTGGCATATTTTGATAATCTTGTATCCTAAAATTTGTGTTGATTGAAACTGCTTTTATGTGCAGTATCGGACAGACCAGCATACTACATCAGAAAAAGACTTCAGTCATGTGCCACAAAATCTGTTTTAATATGTTTCTTGCTTTTAATTTGTTTTGATGGAAATTAGGACCTTTAGAATGGGGACATACCACTTTAGAATGTTTGTTTTGATGGAAATTATGAACTTAGATGCATGCTGGAAATCGTGCAACCTTTGATTGAATGGAATGTTATTGTGTTAGCATTTGTGTTATATGCTTTTATAACAGCAGCCTTGCAAGTCGTTTGTAATGTTGTTGTGTTAGCATTATAATGTAAGAGCAGGGTGAAAAATGCATAGTTTTGTGTTGGGCATAAACCGGCCGAACCAATCCGAACCAAACCGTTTATAAGTGGTTTGGATTGGTTTGGTTTTCGTTATGGTTTTAGGCTAATCCGAACCAAACTGATCCGTTCTTTTCTTATTGGTTCAGCTGTGGTTTGAGAGTAAAACCGAACCAATCCGGACCGTGCCCACTCCTAGTTTTATTAACTCGATTCTTATTGTAAACCAAAAAGCAATTCGTGTCACGTTTGTAGTACTACAAACCGATTGCAAACTCACACTTACTTATATAATGCCAATAATGTTAATCTTCTTCATCCACACCCTTATTTGGCTCCAACACTTCAAGTTCTAGTCTCTGTATTATTCCCAGGTGGGGCTTGGGCTAGAAGCAAATGATGATGGAAGCACAGTTATAGCAAGCTTCTGGCCGCCAACTGCACAATGCTTGGGAACACCACAAATATAACAATTTCTCTCTGGCGCTGATCACATCATTTCCACTTGTTAATGGCTCACTGCTAGAATGGCAACGATAGTGAAGAGCTGGGAAGAAGCCATTATAACTAGTTTTGAGGTGCTGAGCTTCTTAATTTCTTGAATTTGAATTGCTTCTTCTTCTGCCCATTTACCAAGTTTGTCACCAACCTGGAACAGCTAGCTTTCTTCGAGCCCAAGTTTGGTAATCAAAATTGATAGTCCAACTTCTGTCCTCACCAACGATATGATCTCTTACCAAAATCGAAAATGACTAGGTTGGCAAGAATAGTGAAGAGGTCACTGCAACTAGTAGTGAGTTTGTTAGCTGCTTCATGTCTATGGATTTAAAATTTGCCAAGAAAACTTCATTCAAAGTTTACACATTATATTCATCCCTGGAGCCGCGGTAATAGCGTAACTTCAAAACACAATGAGATTGAAGTTTTGAGTTTTGTTTAGTTTATCGTATAACGCCGTTTACGTTTCAATTGGGTTTCTATTAGAATCATAATATACTGAAATACTCATGTTTATTGTCATGTATGAACCCTCTGCTTTAGCATTTTCATCCTAAATATTGCTTCATTCGTAAAACTTTCAATTGTTTAGTTTTGAATATCTTGATTCAAACAAGGAATACCAAAAATTTAGAATTGAATAGTTTGAGATCAACTGTTATCTAAATGCTTCGGTATGCAAACAAGAATAGAACATAAAGTATTTTTATGTAGAGAACTCGGTTTATTTGCGAATCTCTACAGACAAAAAACCTCCGGCCAGTAAAAGGAGTCTTAAGCCGACAGTCAATGTGTTCAAGTCCCTTTCCAGTAGTAGCCACGGTATAAGCAGTAGCATATAAAAAGGAAATAGAAATCCATCTAGTCTTCCATGTTTCTCAACTCAAAGAAAATAGGCTAAACTATTACACCTTTGCCACAGCTAAAATTAGTGGAAAGTGTAGGACAATATTACATCAAAGATCGGTCAAGAGTGGTAGCCTTTTGGTACCGAGCAATTTCTATTGGCAAATCATGGAGATACAAATTTGTACAATGAGCACAGCTGTTTAGTTTTGTACAACTTTGAAGATAATGCTTCAACCATCGTGTATCTTCTCCTTTCGCTTCTTGAAGTCCCGAAGCACTGTCTCCCTCTCCATAGGAGTGGCAGATATTACCCACTTGCTGAACTCTAGCTCTCCCAAACCCATGAATATAGAAATGAGGCTATACTGAATCCTTTTCTGATCCTTGCGTGAAGGAAAATTCTCCTTTCCAACTATACCATCTAGTCTCTTTCTCCGGGCAACACGAATGTATGGGTCCATGATACCATTGTTCTGAGGGATCATTTCCGTCGCCCCTTGACCTCCAGGTCCATAATTCACGATGTCTTCATTGCGGTGCGCATACACGACACCTAAGGAGTCAAAGACATTTCAGTTTTCTTCCAAAAGAGATATAAAAAAGAATAAAATATTTTAAAGCAAACCACATTCTCCGCTTCCCAATATCCTAGCAAATATTAAACGTGTTAAGTGAAAAACCATTACATACCTAATATTTAACCCTATTACTTCAACAGGCCCACAATTTGGTTATGACTCAATTTTAGTCTCTATCCCTCTATTCAGTTTTACCCTTAATTGTTCATCTTTATGGTTCAACTCAATCTCAATTACTTGGCCACATTCAAATTTTTATACATATTATTATTATTTTCTTGGCAATGTTTTCTGACAAGGCTGCCACATCTTCGCTAACTTAAAGACTCATATATTGATTTCAATGTCGCACCACTGGCACAAGTTGTTTTCAGTATATCTATTCTCCTCGAAGCCAGTGGTTTACTGTGCACAGCACAAATCTAATTAGGAGCTTCTATAAATGCCTTCATCATATTTGTGCCTAAAAAAAATTCATTGCTGCTGAGCATGAAATGATTGCCCAGAACTGTCATGCCTTGGAGTTATAAAAAATAGGGTTCTATAATGACTACAAATTTACTCTCTCTTTTTTTCAAAATAACGGCAATTTGAAGTCCACAATGAGCACAAGGAAGTTGTACATAAATATAACTATGCCAATCCAACAATTCTAAGAAGAAAAAGATAAGAAAGCACAATGATGAAAAATGCAAAGAAAGAGTAACAGAAGACCATAACTCTAATTCAGAAATCAAACTTACCCACATCCTTGAGCACAGGTTGACTTGTTAAACCCTTCTTAGAATTACTGGTTGTTCTGGTCTCAGACAACGATAAGGATGTAACACCCACTTCTTTTAATGAAACACTATTGCTTCCAACATCGGTCGATTGTTGTCTTATACCATACCCTTCTTTTTGTCCATCCTTCTCATGCAACTCAAATATTTCGCTGGTAAAGACCTTATCTGAAAGGTCACGAAATAAATTGCAAATTCCGAAAAGCTCCCCTTGAAATTCTTTGCAATCCTGAAATAACCCAATTAAGTGAAATACAAATATCTTGTAGTTGAATGTCAATAGCAAAGTTCCAGAACAAATAAAAAGCAAAAAATGATCGGTTTCTCTACCTGAACACCTTCAAAATATCTCTTTTCCATTTTTCCAGAAACAGCAATGTTGGATAGCTGCTGTTTGTACACCTGACGTGAATAAACAAGTTCATCAAGGGAGCCAGCAGAAAGAAAGCGGAAAACCACAACATGCCGCTTTTGCCCGAAACGAAATGACCTGTCCTGGGCCTGTAAATCTTGGGCAGGATTCCAGCTTGGATCAAATATCACCACACGATTTGCGCTGACAAGATTCAATCCAAGCCCACCAGCTCGAGTTGATATAAGGAACACCTACAGCAACAAACCACTGTCAAAGAGAATTTAAGCACGAACTTCTGTTGTCATATTTGATTTAAAACATACCTGTTTGCTTGGACTTGAGTTAAAGTCATCAACAATAGACAGGCGCAAGTTGGTTGGTGTAGAACCATCAAGTCTTGAGAAGCAATAGCCTTTACGTATAAGAAATTTTTCCAGTATGTCCAGCATCCTGGAAGAAGAAATTCTAGTTCAGGAGAAAAAAAGATCCAAAGAGAACCTAAAGAAGAAAATGTATGCACGGACAATTCATTGACACAGAAAATATTCAGTCCGAGACCATCTTGACTGTATTACACAAAATGTCTTCATGTATTCATTTGTTTCCAGAATCAGTGATAAAGCTTATGTTATATAATCTTCAGTTAAGAGCTCAAATTATTTTGTGCTTAGTCAAAACCTCCACAAATGAAAATCTGTTCAACAGAACATTTTGAATAAATTAATTACAGTTTGTAACCCTGACAGAAGACAAAGAAGAAAAAAAACTACAGTGCATCACCTGACAGAGTAGCTGAACAACAGAACTTTGTCACCGTGTGAAATCCACGAGAACAAGAACTTTTCAAGCGCTCGCATTTTGCCACAATGTTTAACATCACTCAGGCCCATAAAACTCTCATTCTGGGTGTTCCCTCCAACCAGATTAATATCTGTGCCAAACACAGCGGAGGCAAACTCTGCATCTTTCTTTTGCTTATCTGGGTCATCCTTCGGATTAGGCTTAATCAGCTCCAAGTGATTACTTATCTGTAAAGTATCTTCAAAATATAAATACAAACAAATACCAATCCAGTAAAAATTATGAAAAGCAATGTATAATACAAAAATTCATCTCTCCCTCTTTCTCTCTCTAGACTGAGTTCTAATATATTCCATGTAAGCACTGCTTTTGAAGGTTCTTAATTCTTTAATATATTCTTCAATATCAAGTAATCAAACACCATAACAATCCAAAATACAATGCCAAACCTAAATTCCTGATGCACTTGAAACTCTAGGCAACCAATTTTTTGGGAGGAATCTGAGGCTTGAGATTTCCATCACGTCAATAACTTTTTCGTTTAGGTAAAAAATAATGCACAGAAAGTGTGCATACTGAAAACACATTGTATTGAAAAATATAATGAATTCAATGTTTGTTTGATTTTCAAGACATATGATGCCTTTCTTCCAAGTTATTTTGTTTTCTCATTCATATTTTTCGTATTAAGAATATTTGATGATTGGAGACTAAAATAACCCTGTAAGTCCTGCCTCTACACCACCTTAAATTCATGCTATACCCAATGGAAAGACAAATAGCTTTCTTCCAACTCTTCCCTCAAAGAGACTATAATGTCAACAGTTACAAACTTACAAAGGAAAAAGCGCTTCTACAAAAGAAAGAAAATTTATTCCTAATTTAGCAAAATGATTGCAGTGCTAAAAGTTATAAAAACTTGAAATATATTACCTGTTGGAGCTTGATAAGGCAAGGAAGGACAATGCAAAAGGGGCATGAATCACATCCATCAGGGTTTTCCTTGTGAAGATATGGCCAAATTTTCCCATCTGGGACAGTCCTTTTGCAGCAT